GATTGTACATCACAATTTACCTCTTAAGGGCAATACAACTCTGACAGGAGAAACAAACACAATTTTATCAAAGATCACCATGTTTCCTTTTGGACATCAGTAAATTGCATTACTCTTGATATTTGCCTCTTTCATCTTATTAGTGTATAGTGTAATCATAGATCAAGGGCTATGATTAGCCATGCCTCTTGCCCTAACCCTTCAACCCGTGGTTTAGACAGCATAAGTGTAAGCACTGTGCACATGAGATTGGCCTGAGACTATTCTGAATTTGCTATTTGCTGTCTTCTCCTGAATGAGACTATGGGAATAAAAATGTTCTCCTTAGTTTTTCTCCTGTTTAGTCTGATATGTAAATAACCACAGGGCACAGAGGAAGCAGAGCTCCCCTCTCCTCCCCTCCCCTTTTCTCCCCCTTCCCCTCCCTCTTCCCCTTCCCCTTCCCCTTTCCCTTTCCCTTTCCCTTTCCCTTTCCCTTTCCCTTTCCCTTTCCCTTTCCTTTTTCCAGAATGCTTTGAACCAGTTGGATGAGAAGATCTGTCCAGTAGGCATGTTATAATCCCTGCTCTCCACCCCATACTTCAGACTGGTTTCATATCCAGCTCCCACTAAAACACTGCAGAGGAATGGTGGTGTGACCTAGAATAATGCTCTGGCTGATTATGGAGCTGGATGTCCTGGCACAAAGCCCACGTTCATCTGTTTCAAAGCAACATATTGGAAGGACGTAAGGGACTGACTTTTCTTGAAAAAGCACAGCAGCACTTACTAAAAGATGTTTAGCATAAGACAGGAATTTTGCCATGAAGTGTAATTAATTTATACTAAGATGGATTAAATCATTTATTTCAAAAGAATTCTATGATCAGTTCCCTTTAATTCATATCCACTTATGGTAAAATAGAAACAAGCAGTTTTAGACACCTCTAAAATGTGTTTTGGCAGTGATTTTAAGTTAAAACTAGTGTAGCTTTCACTGGTAATCTTAGCATAAAACAGGGTGGTTTTTATTCCTCTTGGAAATGATGGTATGGTGATAGGAGAGGTCTCTATTGATTTACTGAAGAATCACTGAATCACAGAATGGTTGGCCAGGATGGAGAGGGTAAGCTGCCCACTTATCATCACAGTGCCTAGCGCTCACAATAAGCCACACAGTTAACATTCAGGGGATTGCTTACTGCTCAGATAAGCACCACTGAACTTCTTGCCTTTAAAGGAGGCTGAATATGAGCAAGAAGGTATATTATTTCTAACTGTGAATAAAAATACAGCCTTTCAATTTTGTAATGGAAACATTCATTTCATACAAGTCAAACTAATTGGGAGAATCAAGATCACATGCATGTTTTCTTGTTAGTTAGAGGCTCTTCAAATTATTTTTTTATTTAACACAAAGAAAAATTCATTAGCTTACACAAAATTTTGAGTTTTTTTTTCTACATAGATGCTCATGTTAATCACCCTAGCCCTTATTTCCCAACATTTTTCTTGCTTAAAACTATTGCTGCCATGAAGAAAAATCACAAACAGCTGAAATTTTCATACTTAACCATTTCCTAAAAGGCAAAATTTAGAAACACTGCAACACAGATACCCAGAGCTGAAGGACTCTGAATCCTTTCCTTGGTGTCAATCTTAGAAAATGTATGTACTTCTTAATTCTTTGATTGCAATCTCTTTGATTATTTACATTGATTTTCAAAATGGATGAGAAGTTATTTTAGAGACAAACTGTGCTGAATAACCCTGAACTAAAGCCAGAACAGCTGGAAGCTGTGATTTGCTCAGTGTCTTCATCTCCCACTATTTTCCATGAGAGCAAAGGGAATGTGGGAATCTCAAAAAATCAAATTCCTAACAAATCCCCTATAATTTCTGTCCTGAAAAAACACTGATATGGCTCAAGATGTCCCTGTTAAATATTAGTTTCATATTTCACACTGATTCATCTGATGGCACCTACAAGTATTTAATGATCTGTAACACTTCTGACCCCAGATGAAAAACCCACATCCCTGTAGTAAATAGTAACACTCCTACTATGCTGCACACAGCAGCCTGACCAAGAGACTTTTGGTCACCCACCCACCCACTGCAGCTGGTGGGATGTGACATGGTTGCCACGTGTAGGATGGGACAGAGAAGACCAAGAAAATAATGGAATCACAGAATAGCTTGGGTTGGAGGAGATCTCAAAGCCCACCCAGCCCCAATCCCTGCCGTGGGCAGGGCTGCCCCCCACCAGCTCAGGCTGCCCAGGGCCCCATCCAACCTGGCCTTGAGCGCCTCCAGGGATGGGGCACCACAGCTTCTCTGGGCAGCTGTGCCAGCACCTCACTGGCTTCAAAATGAAAAGTCATCTGGCTCAGGGGGAATTTCCCATGTTTACAGCATTTATGGCATGTCCCTCAATCTCCAAGGAACATTTTGTTAAGTCTGTATTTCAGAGCCCTAAAATGCAGCATTTCCCAAAAAGCATGACCTCTGGTGGCTCTCCCCAGCCCAAACAGGGATATTTTTGAGGAGAAGGAAGCATTTGAGCGTGCATTTCTGCAGTTGCCTGCCCCATGGCAGGTGCTTTATCTTGGGCTTTTGAAAATTTATCGAGCACAAGCATTGCTGCAGACAGCGCTCCAGGTTCAAAGAGTTGGTGCCGCATGTGTGCCAGCAAATATTGAAATAGCTCCAGATAAGGAGCTGGGCTTTTGCAGCAGTGTAAAGTACATCGTGTTTTCGAAACCAAGGTAATGAGACAAGTAGCAAGAAGCAGAAAAACCAATTACAGCTACAACTGTATTGGTTTCATGCAAGGATAGTTCAGAAAACCTTCCTGAGGTCTCTCTTCCCTGACCTCAAATGCTGCATGGGGTTTTTTGTTATTGTAACAGAAGAATGACAAAGAAACAATCCCAACCTCAAATTTGCTCTTTCCATGATATTAAAAAATGAGTGTAAGTTTGTGAAATATCTTTTTTTTTTTTTTTTTTTTTTTTCCCATGAACCATGTTATTGTCTTTTTCTGAATCATTGAATTGCCTTTAAGATATGAAATTGGGGGTGGAGGAGTGGTGGGATTTGAATGAAATGATGAATTTAATGAAAATTTGCAGTGTAATTTTCTTCTGTGGAATACGTCGCTGGAAATTCTGGGAAGTTGTAGGTATCTTAACTTCTGATGGAAGGTTTATATTTTACAAGTAGATCCCTCTAAGGTTTTGACTATCAGCTCAGAAAACAAAGTGAAGAAAAGGAATACCAAGGAAATGAAGCAATGGTGTGTCTGTGCAGACACCTGCAGCTGCATTTTTGGAAAGTGCTTTCCAGATCAGAGCCAAAACCCTCTCTTTCATTTCCTCAGAAATGAACTAGATCTGCTAGGAAGAAAATGTTGAAACCCACAACACCCATTTAATTCCACGCTGCTGCATCTTCGTAACACTGCTGTGCTCAAAGCACTGTAGTTGCACTGAGTGCAGCCCTGAGGGAGTCACAGCCAGCACTCTCCCTCATGTTTGCAATTTGTTTACATCAGAGCTGTGTTTTCTCCTTTCTCTTGTAAATATGAATTCAGAAATTACTGAAGTCTCTCATAAAGCAAGAGTAATCTGTTGTTCGCTCATGGTCAGGAGGGCACGTGAAGCTGCAACATCAGTGCAGCCGTGGTGAAGCATGCCATTCCTTTGATTAGATTCCTATAGGGCTGAAGAAAATATTAGTGAAAAAATCTAAGGCCAGATAGATGTGTTCTCTCCATTTGGAAATGTCATAAGCAGCTGGGATCTTGACCGAATTCTCTGGAATGGTCACAGATCGATCTGGCTATCACAGATCGTGCTGACTGTCAGGAGCTTCGCATGGAAGCTCAGGGAAAGCAGCATCCTGCTGAAAATTGCAGTAAATGAAGATCTCAGGCAGCCCAGTGAAGTTAAAACCAAGGCAAGGAGGTGGACTCAGGCTGAGGGTGATCACACTGCACTCATACAACTTTTTCTTCATTCACATCTCAAGATTAACACAAAGTTTTTTCCAGATTTCATTTTTCTTTTGCCATGGTAAGAAAAAATGGATCTTTGTCAAAGAGGATGAAAGCCATTAAAAACTCAATATTCCACTGCGGGGATTGCTTTATGGCCTCATTTGCAGCAGCTTGCTTTATCACGCGTGCAGCTTCATTGCCTGTCCTATAGCTCACACACTTTGAGAGTTATCGGCAGGACTCTGTGCTCTTGTTTCCAGGATGGCTGGTGCCTGGCACAGTATCTATTGGAGGGCGTATGTTGCAGAAGGAGGCTTGACTTGCCAGGCTGCCAGCCAGCTCTGTCCCTCTGTCTCCACAGATTTCTGTGTAGATAGAAGGAAAAAAAATGATGGGTTGGAGATCAGTCCTTGCATTGCTAATGACTCCTACTGCATAACCAGAATGTTTCACAAAGCACTACTGCATGATAAATTACTGTGCTTCATTTTCTGTTTGTCCTTAGCCAGGTCCAGCTAAACTTTATGTGGTACATAATCACAGAATCACACACTTGTTTGGGTTGGAAGGGACCTCAAAGCCCACACCGCCCCAACCCCTGCCATGGGCAGGGTTGTCTCCCACCAGCTCAGGCTGCCCAGGGCCCCATCCAACCTGGCCTTGAGCACCTCCAGAGATGGGGCACCATGGTTTCTCTGGGCAGCTGTGCCAGCACCTCATTGCCCTCTCAGTGAAAAATCTCCCTCTAATTTCAATCTCCCCTCTTTTAATTTAAAATAATTCCCCTTTGTCCAGTTACTAGTTGCATGTGCAAAAACTCACTATCCCTCCTGTTTACAAGCTCCCTTCAAGAATTGGAAGGCTGCAGTCTCAGGTGATGAAACTCATTCACTATCTAACATCTTGAAGGCAGGAAGAGCAAAGTTGTGATGCCTGGAAAATGACATGCTGTTTCCTCTGTGACATGGCAAAAGCGCACACATTTGAAAACTGTAAACATATTCCAACTCACATTTATTCACATTACTGCTTTCACATTGACGTGGTGCAAGACAATGCTCATTTCAGATGGGGATACCAACATACCCCAGTAAACTCTTGATATCTTTCACACCATTAATTAATACTGTACTCTTAACATTAATAAATACTTGAAAAGTCTGTAAATGACCTACAATGAACTCCTTTGTAAAAGTGTTTACCTTAGTTAAAAAGGTTTATTTTGGTGTCAAAAAATGTCCTGCCAAGAATTGCTGGATGCAACTATTCTGATGAATTTTGTGGACTGGTATGGTCTTTGTCACTGCTGTAAATATGTCTGAGTTCGGTGTTGAACAGAAGGAGCTGAAGAACCATCAGAGGCAAACTAGATTTGATCTTGAGACCCTCACTTCACTCCTGTTAAAAACATCAGGACTTGAAGCCACACAGCCCATCCAAAAAACTCTTGCAGACAGGTGCTAATGACTCGCTGCTCCAGACATGCTGCAGCCCAGGATGAGATGTGGGATGCTTCCAGATCCCCTGAGTTCTTTGAGTGCATCAGACTTCCTTGTACACACGTATGCATGCACACACGGATATCAGCACTACTCATTATCCCCACAGAGCAGAACTAAGCAGCTGCACTAGGCATGCCATGCAGCTGTCCCTGACTGTGTGTTTCAGACATAGCCTTCATGGCAGATGTGGTTGCCATTGATAAGGCTGAAGGTGGCCAAAGAGTGGTTGGTGCTCTTGAGGGAGGTCATTCGTGTGGTGCTCCTGGCCATGCTCTGGGAGCGGATGAGGAGGCGAGCTCTGCAGCAGAATAGCTGGTTGTTGAACTGCTTCCGAAAGCTTTTGCTGAGTAAGTAGAGTGCAAATGGGTTGACACAAGAGTTAGTGAATGCCAGGATCCGAGCACAGATGCTGGCAACAAAATGCAGCACTGAGGTGTCCACCTCTGAGTAGTGATAGGACCGGTATAAATAGATGATATGAGTGGGAAGCCAGCAGAAGGCAAAGAGGCACACAAAGACCAGCACTGTCCTGGCCAGTCGTTTACGAGATTCAATCTGGAAAAAGAAAGAGAGATGCAGGTTAGTAGTCTCTAGTTTGGACAAGTAGCAGTTTTTTCCCAGTGCTGCACCTTAGGGGTTAGCAGATGAAACCTGCACTAGTTATTCATATGCAATATATATATAATTCGATGTAAGCATTATATATTAAAAAACATTATTAGTGTTATTAGTATTATTAATATTGTTATTAACAGAGTAGAGGACTGGGATATTTCACAGAGCACAGAGTCAGGACTTTCTCCCTTAGGGTCATGTGGTATATGTACACAAATGTGCTGCCAACAGCTCACAGCCTTTCAAGACCAAGTGAGGTGTTCAGAGGCTAAAGGAGCTGTAGATGTCAACAGAGGACACTCTGCACTTATAGAAACACTGAGGTAGCAGCAACGTGGACCCTTCAGTTGGAAGAGCTGGGGCCAGAAGGGGCAAGTGAGTGAGAAGGTGGTGAGAAGGTTTATGATCACCTTAACATAACTGCATTTACCCAAGGGGAAGGTGCTTTCATGATTCAGCCAACATGCAGTATAACCTTCACACAAACAAGTCACATTTTTGTTTTCCTACATATGCAGGCTTGGACTCAACCCAAAGTTACTGCTCAGCTGAGGGTAGCTGAGGTAAACTGCACCTGATCTTTTGTCCACCAATGCTGCATGCTAAGATAATAATGCCACTGAAAAACATATCTTTCTTCCTGACAAACATGAGAGTTATGAGAAAGGTCGCACAAAAGGAGAGGATGGACAGCGTTACTCACAAACACTTGTTGGACTACACTCCTGGCTGGAAGAGGATAGCCAGAAATGTGCAGGTACGACATCACTACATTTTCAAGGATCACAATGCTTTCTCATCTGGTAATTCCTGTGCCTCTTCCCAGACACTTTCAGTGATTTGCTGTTACCTGCTCCTTGTAACTGAGCATAACCTGAATGGCCTGAAACTTTCCCCAACCTCATCCCCTCTGTGCTTGTTCCTGCCCTGGTGAGGCAGCAGGGCCAAGCCAGGTTCCCAGCCACCCTCCATCCTCATTCACCTTCTGAGCTGCACAAGCAGATCAGAAGCAGCAGCTGACAAAGGCCTGTCTTTGATCAGGACAGCTGCAAGCAGGGAGGGAGTAGGCAGGAGAGACCTGAAGTGCCCATTTTAACTTTATTTTGTGCCCCTGTAATGGCACCAACTGAAAATTAGCCATTGTGCTTGGGAAGGACTGACATTTACCAGGTGATAATGTCTCCAAAGAGAGGGCTGAAAATTAAATCCTTTGCGAAGAGGCTCTGCACAGCTAAGTCATATATTCTTTTAAATGTATCCTTAATTTGATACAGGGCTATTGAGGCCACATCTGCACTATAAAGAAAGGAAGCAACACAATAAAGAAATCAATACCAGTTGTTTCAGATGGAGACCTATAGTTTCTGAGTGCACTGCAAGACAGGAATGATGGACTGGTGGTGCTAAACTGTAGCCTGGCCTTTTGCTTTCTGTGGACCTTTCCCCCGTAAGTAAAGGGAGAAAGGGCTCCTTTTACTACTCACTTTATTGTCACTAATCAAAACGGTCATTAAATCAGCAGAAAAATGATCTCCAGGGAAGAAAGATTTATACACATTCAGAAGAGACAAAGAGAAAAGGATTTCAGGGATCACACATCATCTCATGGGCAGAAAACACATTTGTTTCACCTCAGCACCAGAAGGCTACAGGAGATGAAATTACTGTTTCATGTCATCCTGAGGTGGAGATGTCAGCCTGATGCAATTACATGGACAATCATTCAGCTGACAAATGGTCTATGTCAGTTTAGTTTTGGTTGAAAAACCCCTCAGTTGAAAGGAAGGAGATCTGTCAAGGCAAATAAATTGTTCAGAAACGAGTTGTCCTGCTGTTGCCTTCTTGCTTAGACAAGCCCAAGGCTCAGATTTGTTTCAGGTTATGCATTGATCTGAAGCACTCAGTTACTCATGCTGGATTTGGATTTACCATAGGACATGACTCTTTTCCTCCCTAGAGGCTTACAAAAGGAGTAGGCAAGAGTGAGCAGTAGAAAGCTAGGACTTCAGTTGGCCAAATCCTAGCAAAGTCACTTCATTAGGATATACACACTTTCAGCAACACATTTTCAACCAGAGCATGAGACTCCCAGCAGTCCCTGACTGTGAGCTCTGCAGTGGGATAGTTCGGGGAATTTAAAAAAATAAAACAAATACTCCTGAGTGACAATAACAGAGGTAATCCTGATTTCAAGGGTATGAAGGGAAGGTTAAGAGTCTGCATCAGTCCAGAGCAAAGGCCCCACATAGGTAAATCAGATCAGTCTCAAGGTGAAAGTTAAGGATACCACCTACTGGACAGAGTAGAGGGGGATAATCACCTCCCTGTCCCTGCTGGCCACCCCTCTCTTGATGGAGCCCAGGACACCATTTGCCTTCTGAGCTGCAAGGGCACACTGCTGGCTCATATTAAGTTTTTCATCTATCAAGACCCTCAGGTCCCTCTCCACAGGGCTGCTCTCAAGGACTGCTCCTTCCAGTCTGCATGGATGCCTGGGATTCCTCCGGCCCAAGTGCAAAACCTTGCACTTTACCGTGTTGAACCTCATCAGGTTCACCCGGGGCCCACCTTTCAAGTCTGTTGAGGTCCCTCTGAATGGCATCCCTTCCTTCTGACATCTCACCATCCTACTCGATTCTCTCTCCTGATGACCCTCCATCTGTCACCATTCTCCGGCCTCCACTTCCCCAGTCCATCTCCAGCCTGTACTTTTTCCGCAGCATGGCATAACACCAGCAGATGATATTGCTGTGTCCCATTTCAGCCCTGAGGACTGAATTGGAAAGCCCGCATTTCCCTCTACATGAAGGGAGACTACTTAATGGAGCAAGTCCTTTTTGATACAGAAACTTTGAGAAGTTTTCCACTGTGTTACCCCTCAGCTTCAACTTCACAACACCAGCACCAGCTTTATCTCTTCTCCTGCATCTTAGTCAATACCTTCCCAGACATTGGCATGAATCCCCTGCTGTGCCATGGTAACTGCCCTGCCAAAGTCTCTGAACATAGGAAAATTAGAAGACTACTGTTGTGACATAGTTTATGACAATCTATTAAAATTCATGCAGCAGCTGCAGTTTGCTTTAGTGTAAACTTCCCTATGTGATCTCTCTTTACTGGTTCATGGGAATTGTGGATTTTTGAAGAAAGTAGTCTCTACCTGTTTCCTTACGTGCACATTTCCTTCCACAGGGATGTTGTAAGCACTCCGGATCAAGTTCTTAGCAATGAAATAATAATATACTGAAATGACGGACAGAGGAATGATGTAAAAGATCAGAAATGATGCCATTGAGTGGATTTTGGGATGCAGCCCATCAGAATGTGGGTAAGGAGCACAGCTGATGAAAGTTTTATTAGTCCCTTTGTCATGGAAAGGATGTAAATCTGAAAATACTGCTTCAGGAATGGCAAGCAGCATGGATGCAATCCAGATTACAGCAGCTCTCACACAAATTTTCATCAGTGCATGGGATGCTTGTATCTCCATTGGTCTTACTATAGCTTTATACCTAAAAAAAAAAAAAAAAAGATAAATTATTTATTGACATCAACACTGATCATTTATAAAACTAAGGCATTGCATTTTTGCTCATACTTAACAGATACCTTCCATTTAGAAAAAAAATTACTCAAGACTGAAAACAGTTACAATTTTAGATTTTGCCATTTTCAAAAGATTTCTCATTTTTAACCAACGTAACCTGTTCTGTGTCCATCCAGTTTCCCGTGTTTTGGTTCTGAGTTCATTTAATTTGTCATTTACCCAACAAAGCACAGTGCTGCATCACATTAATAAGTATGTGTCCAGATAGGGTTAAGATAGGATGTGCCACCACAGACTTCTCTTGAAAAGCATTACAGCAGTTTACACCTCAATGAAAGACTCTGTAGAAGGAAACTGGATGGGTTACTCAGTTTGTAGATTTTGCCACACATTTCATTTTGAGCTGTGAGTATGCTGGCCTTTTGGAAGCAAACTCTGATGCTTCCTCAAACTAAGCTTTCTGTGTGTAACAGAGGCAGCAAGTATGAGGTTCTGCACTGATTTAACTGGGTAACTGCCCTATTTACAGAACAAACATGTATTCAGCTTCTAGTTAGAAGCAAAATCCTGTTCAACATACCTGCTATTTTACATCACACACATAGATTTACATATGCATTTATATTTCTGTAGAAAACATAAAAACACATATAAGAACATAGATACTGGCATTTACATTTACATTGTGGATGATCACACACTGGCACAGACTTCCCAGTGAGGTGGTTGATGTCCCATGCTTGTCAGTATTCAAGAGGCATCTGTTCAATGCCCTCGTTAATAAACTTTTGGTTAGCTATGAAGTAGTTAGGCAGTGGACTTGATAATCTTTCCCTTCCTCTTTCCCCTTGTCTCTCCCTCTTCTTCTCTCTCTCCCTCTCCCTTTCCCTTTCCTTTTCTCTTCTATCTGGACATCTTTTCACATGCAGATGTTTCTCCATACAGATCCACAGGTGCCTCATGTAGATGATTTTTTCTTTAACAAACTGCCCTCATTAGTTTTCTGTTTAACTGCTTCTTCTCAATACCTCCAATTCCTCCTTACTCCAGCTATATACTGCTACAGTAGTCAAACAGTATTTTCCAGGCTTGCTTAGCACTGCTTTAACTTGCATGCTGAAGCTGGATGGGGCTTAAGTGGTGTCATATAAAAAGCACAATCTTCCAGGCCAAGATCATAATCTCAGGTGAAGAAAACCATGGCACACACACAGATATGGTGTTGCAAATGTTGCAGTAATAGAATGGATGAGCCAGGCAGATTAGTAAAAAAATGCAGCTAAACCAGCTCAGTTTGCAGTTTGCTTCACCAGAAAATTGGCAGAAGCACTAACTGAATGTCTTCAGTAAAGCTTAAAGAACATAAACACGAAAGGAAACAAATTACGATATAGTCATAAATTTATTTAATTCAAAACTATTTATGTAGCTGTTTATTATATGCTCATCAACATGGCACGTTAGTGTAATTACTTCAGGGATTTTCTTGTGTATCATATAGCTAGCTGAGAGAATATTTTCCAGTATTAATTTCCAGTAGCATGAATGAATGGAAGTATACAGAGAAAGAGTCTGTTAAATTTCTATTAACATTAAGATTGAAGAGAGACAGAAAATTGATCCATTTCAAGTTATTAGTACATTTTAATTGGAGATGTCATTTCCAAACAATATAATTTTGAAAGAACATGATTAAAAATGGCTAAGAATGCTGGCACTGATAATTAGGCATTTAGTATGTTTTATAAAGCCTGCTATGACAGATTTAAAAGAAGATGTGAGAGACTTTTTACTTGCAAATGGCTCTCTGTAGAGGCAAATCATAAGGTCAAAAGCACAAAAAGATGAGACAGGAAAAACAAAGCAAGCAAAAACAGGTTTTGAAGGTGCAGTTCGTCAGATGTAGGAACACAGGTGCATGTTTCCTTAGGAGCTTGAAGATAGAATCAAAGTATTTTGTTGACTATATTCATGACATTTTTTATGGTGGGCTAACTTATTCAGTGATTGTGTTCATCTGAGTATTGATACTTAATTGCTTGGTATTGATCTGGTGGGAGCCTTCATTTCCAGCTGCCTTACAGATGATCAGTGGGCACATCCCCAAGTTATGTTTCATCAGTTCTGCCTCCCCACATCAGCTTTGTTTCTGGACAGTGGCTGCAGAGGGTTGCTCTGTTTGAGAGCACAGGGCAGTCGTGTAGGAAGTTCTGGGCTGGAGCCAGTGCTGAAAGATGCTGGAGGATCTTTCTGTGTTGGATGCTCCTAAAGTGAAAAAGCTGCTACTCCTCGTGGGTTTCTGAGTTTATTTTTCCACACAGTTTAATGATAGATTCAACCCTGAATTTTATAATCTAGTTGCAAATCTTTAAGAAATGCAACAAGGTAGACTGGTTTTGAACAGCACCTAGGTTTCAGACTCTGTCTTTTCAGCTGATATATCAAATGTTATTCTAAACCTTTCCACAATTTTGTCCACCACCATTTCTCTTTTTCAATGAGATAGTCTTTTCTTGTCCCCTATAAGCTTCATATCAGTTGCATGCCCAAATTCTCAAATACCAAAAAATCCCAAGCCCAGAGAAAGTCCTAGTGGCTATTACCTTTCCTGCTAAATGGCCAGTCCTGTGCAATCAAGAACAGGGTTCTCTCCTGTCCTGCAGACACTGTATCTCTCCCACCAGTAGTGGGTTTTGTGCTGTCTGGACATGATGGTGGCCAAGTTCTCTGTCAGAATACTGAGCACCATTTTCCTGCTTTGCACAGTCAGATCAGCTGGGGGTCAGTGTCTCAGGAACTTATCATCTCTGGAACACTTCCAGTTTTCTGAAATAGGCTGCTGTTTGAGATATGGGAAAAGGCTAATATGTGCCATTTACACATCCAGCAAATGTATTTTCATAGAATAGTAGACTCTTCAAGGTTGGAAAAGACAACTAAGATCATCTAGTCAAAGCACCAACCCATCACACCATGCCCATTAACCACGTCCCCCATTGCCACATCTAAACATTTCCTGAACACCTCCAGGGGTGGTGACTCCACCACCTCCCTGGGCAGCCTGTGCTACTGCCTCATCACTCTTTTGGAGAAGAAATGTTTCCTAATATCCAACCTGAACCTCCCCTGGCACAACCTGAGGCCATTCCTTCTCATCCTATTGCTGTTACCTGGGAGAAGAGGCTGGCTCCCACCTCACCACAACCTCCTTATAGGCAGTTTATAGAGACCAATGAGGTCTCTCCTCTGAGCCTCCCCTTCTTCAGACTGAACAATCCCTCAACCACTCCCTACTCCTCACCAGTTTTGTTGTCCTTCTCTGGACACGTTCCAGGTCTTCCATGTCTTTCTTGTCTTTCTCAGGGCCCAAAACTGAACACAGTACTTGAGATGTGGCCTCACCAGTACTGAGTACAGTGGCATGATCACCTCCCTATTCCTGCTGGCTGCACTATTTTTGTTACAAGCCAATATGTCACTGGTTTTCTTGGCCACCTGAACACACTGCTGGCTTGCATTCAGCTGACTGTCAACGAACACCCCTAGATCCTTTTCCTTGTTTAACTCCTTACAACATGCCATTTTGTCTCCTAAGAAAGGAACAGACTGAGGGTAAGGAGCTGAGGGCCAGCTGAAGCTGAATGAATTAAATCTATTTTTTTGTGTCTGCCTTAGACCATGAAAAAACCATCCATCTTAACTACTTCAGCTGCCCAAGGGCAGGGCATCAGCCTAGGTGCCCTCTATAGACAGTAGAGAGAAAGAGGCAACTCGAGATAATTTCTTCAGTTCAGAAATACGTACCTGAGAGGAACAGGGTGGTTAGTCCTCTGGAGTTGCCCTTGTTTCTGCTTTCCATAAGCAGAGACCAAGCAGTAAGATAACAAGTTTCATCACTTATTTTAGATGGCTAAACCTAGGAGTAAGTTTGAGATATTTGACGTTCTCATACTTAAAATATAACATTTGAATAATCTCATCAAAATCTCAGTTTGTCTGCAGTAACTCTACTCATGGCTGTGTATTCATCACCTCTGCTTGCTCTCATGTTGAGTTTCTGAATGATATGATACTACTCTTTTCCAGCAAAGTTCTTCCCCTATACATTAAATTCCCCTATATATTAAAACAATTCTTCTCAGACATCAAAATCCAAAAGTATGACTCATATCTTGCAACAAAGACTAAAACTTAAAAAGGAAAAGCATGCCTTCTGAAGATTCAGTTGAATAAAAGATGGCAGTTAAGAATCTGTGTCAACTCCAATCTCTCCAGCTGTCAAAAAGCCCAGGTGAAAATGACTGAGCTGCCGATCACATAGGAAATAAGGAAGAGATGCTGACCTTTACTACTGCTCAGTCTTTGAACTTATCTCTTCCTACTGTGCTTGCTAAGTAGCAGCCTGCCTGGCACAGGAGGTACCAATGACCTTCTGCTCAGGATGGTTGCAAGCATGTCCCTGCGTCTCATGATTACAGCTTCAGCCCGCACTAAGAAATTACGCATGAGGCTCTCTGAAATGCAATTAATAGAATCATAGGATAGCCTATATAGTAGGTCAGAGTTTTAGCCAGTTTGAGCACCAATTTGTAAGGCTCCAGCAGATCCTTAGCAGTCTACGAGGTGCTGTGAGAACTCACCCTGACGTGCAACCCTCTCAACTGCTGGATGGCTCCAGTGCTGTCCCTCTTCTCCAGGTCTGCCTTCAGCCCTCCAGGAGAAGCCTGATCAGAGGGGTTGCTTCAGTGCAGTGACCCAAGGGCTTGTGTAAATCCATCACTCCTTACTGCAAAATGATATCTCCACCAGATGGAACTGACAGAGGTTTGGACCAATAGTACTTTGAAAGTGAAAGCTGCCCTGGTACAGCATATTTATTGCAATAATTCAATGACATATAATGCATGATCACTTCTTAATCTAATCCCAACAATCCAATTTTTAGCTTTTGTGAATTTTCTTTAA